GTCTCAAGTTTAGCCTCAAAACTGTTGATGCCTTTAACCACGGAGTCCCCTGATAGATACTTGAGGATAAGCTGGAAGTCTCGGTTGGGGTACTGGACGTACCAGAAGAGAACAGGAGTCGCCCCATAGTTATAGTTGCACTTCAGCTCCAGCAAGGCTCCTTCAGAGACAGTGACGTGGGCATCGGGCTGGGTCACCGACTGCGCTCCCGATCCTCCTGCAACATCAATGTTGTGTAAGTAGAAGCAGGCAAACTTGACTATGAAGAGAACGGTGTATCTGTTCAAGTTCCAATTAAAACACAGTTGCTTTTGTAAAGGTAAGGAAAGAAATGGAATGTTACTTACTCAGGAAAAAAATCATCTCAAGCACTGGGATGAGCAGCAGGAGCATGGCTGGGCGGTGGAAAAGCTGCAGGGTCCCCACCAGACACCGCAGTAGCGAGGTTGCAGAACTTGTTAATAAGTTAGGTTCTCTTCTGCCCTCTTACTCTGCTCGTGTGTTCCCATCTACACTGACTTCTTGAGAATTTGGCAGACAGAGCTACAAGGAGGAGCTACGCAGCTGCTGAAGAGCTGAGACCTAAACGAAGGTCCATTTGAGAAATATCGCCCTCTAGAGGCCAAAATTAAAATTAACGCTCCAAAGAGAGAGAAGCACGCCTTCTCATTTCAGAGATGGGATATCAAAACCTCAACTGAACAGGTTTCCTTCTTCCAAGACTGTGAAGATGTCAACTTCTGTGGAATAAGGTAGTAAAATAAGTGAGAAATGGGAGCTAGGTCAAAGTAGAAGAGTAATTACTTCACTGGGAAAATAGTCACAGAAGACAACATACCAGACTTTTGAATACAGTTGACAGACTGACTATCTTATGTCTTAAAGTCGTTGTCCCTCAGATAGAAAAAAAAAAAAGATCAGTTGAGTATCAACTGATGCTAACTGCTAACTCAGTTGAGCATCAGATGGCTTGTGCTGTTCAATGTGAGCATCTGCATTGGAAAAAGATTATTCTTTTATTTGTTGCTAAAAGGAAAAACAATCAATTAGACCAGAATCTCTACTTAAAATCATCCTAAAATATGTCATAAGCTATTTGATAAATGTAAACTTATGAAGCTGAAAATTTTCTTTGCAAAATGTGAAAAGGACACCTTGCTTTTAGGTGAAAAAATATGATATTTGTTTAGGCTATGAGAAAACACATATTTAGGAGAAATAACACATATTTAGGAGAATAACTTAGGAGAAAACACATATTTAAATGAAGAAAGTGAGGGTCCTTTTCCAATTATCAGTGGTCATAAAGCACTAATTTATGCCCCATTATGGGGACCTGACACTGAAAAGAACATTGACAGGGGAGCATCTGAAGAGAAAGTTAGGCAAAATGATAAAAGTTAGGAAAATATGACATTGATTATATAAAGAGTTAAAAAAAAAAAAAAAGACAAAACATAAGTCTATGTGAACTCAACCACGCTGGGAGAGGTGCACCAGCCAAGGAGAAATGAGCGGAACTTCGGGGAAGTGTGAAAGACCAGGAGCTCATTGGCGAGTCGCTTGACAAGACTTAAGCCAGCAGCAGATTGTGGGGTGGCAAGGGACAGCTGCCCCATGACCTAAACATAAGTTGAAACTCTTTAAAAGGACTTCCTTACTGCAGTTATTTTAGCAAAGGCTCTGAACAGAGACATTTAAACTGCAAAAAGGTAAGGAGAGAAATCTCAGGAGAAATGAGATTCCTGCCAACAGGAGTCCTCACAAGATCAAAGCAGCTCACCCTTTCTGAGTACTCTGTTGACTTGTAGGAACTTGAAATCAGTTCTCCCTTGAGCTTCTGATTTATTTCTTGGCCTTGCTTATAGATATTCTTTCATATGTAAAGCTGAATCATACAGTTAGTTTGAAATTGTAAATGTTGCTGGTATGTGTATCTGAAGCAAAACTTCTGAGTATAGATACTTTGCTCCCTTCTCTCCAAAATTCCCACTGAAAATTTAAAAGTATAAACAGAGTGAACTTAAATCCATAAAGGAAAAAGTGATAAAAAGATGAAATAGATCAACAATTCCCCTAAGATGGAAAGTAAATGTGTGTACACTGATGGATGAGAGAGAGGAAAAAGCACAGTCCAAAATGAACTGAGATTTCAGTGGAAATCAAATGATGAAAACCCAGCCTTTAGGACCCTAGAGGGACACGAGGCTGGGAGAGAGGGTAGGTGTGATGGAGGGCAGGGCTCCAGAACCCGGGGGGAAAGGTCGAAGGTCAGTGGATGGAATAACTGCTGCGCTCCCTCTGGCCACTCCATCCTGAAGCAATACTTAAGCGTGAGGGGTGCGGCAAGCCAGACTTTACACGGGCATTTCATCTTCACTACAGTTTAAATGAAACACCTAGGAGTGCTAAAGTTTTTAGTGTGACTCGTTAACAGATCTACACTGCCTTCAAACTGCCATTACGTGTAGGGGAGAAGGGGGAAGCAACTTCATGATCAGTTTCTTGCTTGTTCATCCTGTAAGAATGTATATGCCTATGCCAACTAAAATGAAATGCCCACATGTCCAGGTTACTGGTCCAATTCTGCACTTAAGAAGAAACCTTAGGAAGAGCAAGCAGGCATAATAGTGTAAGGAATTCTTCTGTTACCCAGCCCCTCGTTCTTACATATAAACCAAGAATAAAGGAATGTTAGTGATCCCTAAGTATAGATGTATCTCTTTGCATGTGTCTCTCTATCCATGGAAGTTCAGAGTTATCAACTAGGAATCATCAGTCACTCATACCTGAGACAAAGGGCTGGCACAGTGTTGTGCTCTATGGTTTACTGATGTGGGAATGTAGTATTTGGAAAATGACCAAAGTAGCCAAGAGGATAATATACAGGGTTCCTAGTCACTACTCTCAGAAATTCCTGGGTCTTGGCTTTAATAAATACTTCCTTATATTTAAATTTTTTTTTCTCTGAACACGTGCTTTAACCTCCATTATTTCAATTTCCAAATTGGTACAACCAGTTTTATAAACCTCAGTACATGGAGAAAGAAATTAAAATGTTGAGTGCAATAATTAGAAGCTCTTTCGTGTATTGATTACTGAACGTGTGCCAGGAGAGTTAATGACAGATGCTGTAGTGTCCAGCCTAGATGACCTTTTCTGGCCAGCATGCCAAACTCCTGCTGCTGTGAGTGCAGCTAATTTTGGCTCATGGTTGCTCTCTTCCCAGAAAATCAGCCTCTGCCAGTAAAGCCACCATCGTACAACAGGGTGATTCCACCCAAAGGAAAGAACACAGCCGATGATTTCCCTTTATCTGGGCTATAAAAGAGCTGTTGTCTGGCCTCTTTGGCTAAGGGGAGAGAGATCAATTTTATGGTGCAATTCATGTTTCAGAGCTCCCTATGAGGTGCTGAATCAAAACTCTAGCCTAACCACTTCCATGCTTCTCCTATATTAGTAAATTACGGGCATAAGAGATGCCAATCCACACTCTGCTTTTAAGGTATTCAATCTAAGACAATATTGTCTTATTTAATCCTGAAATTGATCAATCAATCAACATTTATACCATAAATAAATGATAAATATGTTATACACACACACACACAATAGCATAGCCTGAGACCAATAACAAAAAATACTAATATGTTCTACAAACAAGTCACTTTGCAGTGTGTATGACACCATAAGGTCCATACTAAAAGTGGAACTAGAATTTGAGTCTCTTGATTCAGCACAGCTTTCTGCTCTTTCTCACTTCTGTTCAAATCTTTCTTGCAATATGCAAATATTTGTTTAGTCTTTAATCCACAGGCTGAAAATTGGAAGCAAATCCTGATTGGGTTGTATCCTTTTAGTCAGTGACTATGTGACCCAAACTGAACAGAAACCTTAATTCCCCATTTCCAAGTCTTCCCTCTCTTTGGGCTCCATAAACAATGCCGTGTCTAATAAGCCACGTCTTCCGCTTTAGGGTGATTGTGACGCTCACATTTTCCTTCTGCAATTCAACATAATGTCTATTATAAGGCCTCTTTGCATCAGGTCACAAATATTTTTCCTGGGCTAAGCATAAGTTGTAGGGCAACTGCATAGCGCAACTGAGTTGGAGTGTTTCCTCACCAACATTTCCTAAGACATCCTCGATATCGTATGGTCTTTGATAAATGATCCAAGTATTTCTTTAAGGCACCTGGCTGTCTAGAATTCTTTTAATTGCTCAGAAACGCTTCTCTGGAAACGCTTCCTTTGGTGTTCCCACACAAGTCCATCATACATGGCGACTGCTGTGGGGAATGCTCCCCACCCTGAGCACTCCGGGACATAGGCATCAATCCATCTCCCACAGGCTTGTCAGGGATTTTGAATGCTACTCAGTCTTTACTTAAGGTAACACAGGCCTTCTCAGATTTTTAATCTCAGAGAAATTCTGGCTTTTTGTTTCAGTTAGTTCTCCCCTCCAACCATCGTCCATTCGTCTACTGATTAAATTCTCCTTTTGCAATGCAGGACTGGGGTTACGGTGAGGGTGGAGGTGGAGTGTGAGACCTGCAACTTTTTCAGTGTACTTTGCTTCAGACTCCTGCCTTCATTCTGCATTTGTGATTTACTACTGATTTTTGTTGTTGTTGTTGTTGTTAAAGTGCTGAATCTCAGACACTTTTTCGATTTTGGATCGTTCAGTGGGGAAACAACTGTAAGGGAATTATCTCCATTACACTAAAATGATTTTGTCACATATAAGAAACCTCATAAAACCAACCCCCCCGTTGAGTAAAATCGAGGTAGAAAACTAGATTGAAAAGAGGGACTAGGAAATATTTCAATCATTCATCCAGTCAATATGATGCCTTTAATTTCCCACAGGGACACTTATTTTTGTAATTACAAAAAGACTTCCCTAATCAGTCGAACCCCGCATCCTATCACTGTTAATGCTGTTTTCATCTGAAGAGTGAGATTTCTCTGCCCTGCAGCCCAAGTTCTCCCGAGGCATTGCTGGGCCCCAGCAGGTTTGGTGTTGGTGCAGGTAGCAAGGGAAGCACCAGAGACTGCTCGCTGCACAGAGGTAGGAGGCTGAGTTGCTGTGCCGGACGTCTCAGACGACTCCTCAGCAGGGAGGAGCTCTGGTTGACTTGGTCCAGTAACACTGCAAATTTTCCTTAAAGGGTGTATCTGTAGATCCGCAAGTCGAGGCCTTTCCCAGAATACTGTCTATACCACAAGAAGTACTGAGAAGCAAGGTCACTGTAAGTGCAGTGTAGAGAGATAACAGTTCCCTCCCGGACACTCAGAGAGCCCAGGCTCTGCTCCCTTCTGTTGGCTTCTCATCCTGAGGCAAGAGTCCCAAGAGGCAATAGTCACTCAAAAGAAGACTGGTTGCATAGTGGGTGTTCAATCTCCAGAATTTAAATGATATTTCAACAGACCCCACACACCAACTGTCTCTTGGTTAGAGGGTGAACATAGTTATGTCTCTACCCACTGACCCAGAATAGGCAAAAACTCCAAAACATTGGGCAATTATGTTCCCATAGGGATGGCCAAACCCACCCTTTGACTGAAGCCACAGAAGCACCAATAAAACTCTGGAGGATTTCATTATTTTTTCTGGTACACTGAGGATTCCAATTTTAAACTCTAAGAAAATGAGCCTAGCTCAGACATTCTAATTCTTCTGCTTGAGAATCATAAAAAAAAAAAAAAAAAAAGCTGCTCTACCAATTACAAGAGTCCCTTTTCATCACCCTTGCTATACCACCAAGTCCCACCCTTCTCTCTCTCCCCTTCCCTTCTTCCTTAACTCCCATTCCCACCCCCTCCCCTCCACACACACACACACACACACACACACACAGGAAGACTTGAGAGTTGCCTCAGAATCCCTGAGAAGACACTGCCATCTTGTGGACTCCTGACAGGATGGAAGTGAAGAAATGCTCAAAATGTAACTCTTGTTGTAAGACCTGATGAAAGTAAAATCTGCCACTTTATCTTGAACATTTAAGAAGTCAATGGGGAGGGCAGGGGAGGTGTATAAAATGGCAAGTTTTGTCTCAGCAAAAGTAGTTGTACCGAGCAGCTGCTTTCCTGAACTGAAGCAGAGTCATGCAATACCCCTTGCAGGTGTCTGAGGAGGCCCTTGCAGTTCAAGGGGCAGCTCACATTGGGAAGCTCTTCTGTACCGCCTGTCTCATACCCTCACCTTCACCTTTTAAAGAAATCTGTCCTAGTGCAAATGAACATTTTTCAAGACAGAATGACCTAAAATCCAATAAATAAGTATGTTTCCAGCTCACGATATGAGCAAGGGACTAGAAATTGCTTGGGAGTCTTCACTCCATTTTACACAATGACATATAAGTGTGTCAAAATAGTGCTTGGACATCCCTGATAATGCAAGGGGTTAAAGTGCAGCATTATGAAGCTGTCCACAGCCGCTGCAGCATGAATTCAATCCCCAGCCAGGGAGGTGGCTCACATATCACAGCAGACCTGTCCTGAACCACCCCCTGCTCTGCTCAGTAGTATATTTCAGTTGACCTGCCTGTTCTGCTCCCTCTCAAACCCCACCCACATCTCTGGCCTGTACCTCAGTTCTTGTATATATAAATAAATAAATCTATTTTAATGTGCTTATTTGGAGATCTATTGTTATTATCTTTATAAGTAGTAATACTAATAGTAGCAGTAGTACTGTTACAATATAGTACTGCTTCATTATTTGACCTGTAAATGAAATTCAATGTGACAAATCCCTTATTTGTTTAATTCTTCTTATCCCCCTATTTTTTATACAAAGCTCTGGCATCTTAAACTCCAAAGTCTGGGGATCTACTATCCCTCCTCTGTCCCTCAACTTCCTGCATGTCCTTGCAGAGGCCAGTGGCTAAAAATCAATAACGCAGTAGGTCCTTTCTAGACAAGAGACTAGTAGTCAGGATTCATCCAACATGGATCAGGTCCTTCCCATCCCTACCGACAACTGTAGGAAATAAAATAAGGAGATTATGCTAATATGGAAGTACCTTTTTCTAAGAGTATATTACACTTTGCAGAAAGTGCATTTATAGTCATTTCTCAAAGGTAAAAACCAAAGCAGACAGGACAGTGACACAAGATGACAAGCCCTACTGTCTTCAAAACTTTAGGAAAACCACGATGAAGTTTTAAGAATAGAACATGGACATGAAGCACAGTCTTTAGAAAAACAACCCTCTTAAAACTTTTTTTACAAAAATTAATTAAATGACCATCTGTTAGAGCTAACATTGTAATGGAGACAAAACATAGCAGGGCTAACAAATAACAGCACTCATATGACAGCCAGTTACTGTTTCTGCAAAAGCTTCTTGCCTAATGGTGTCTAAAGAAGATCTGAAACGCTTTCAGGTGACTGAAGATGTTTTTGTGGTAGTCAACTCAGAAAAGAAAAACGTAGGCCCTCCTGTTATGCCAGCAAACACAGGGCAGGTTCTCCATGATCCGGGCAGATGGGTAGGGAGAGTCCTGGAGTCCTCAGTGACTTTTCCAGCTTTGAATGACCTTTCCCATTTGTAGTGAGGCAACCAGGGGCAGAGCAGGCAGGGGGGTGCTGGAGGGTTGGGAAGCTGGCAGGTCTCCTAGATCCCTGCAAATCTTTACTCTCTCTAGGCTCCCTCTGGCGTCATCGCATGATCTCTTCCTCTTGCAGCTGTCCGACTGACCACTGTCCACCGTGCTCTGCCACACCATCCTCTGTGACACTGCCTTTATATGCCTTTATGTGCTCCAGGTGTGCCTGCTCACACATGCCACGCCATGCTCCAGGTGTCCACCATCAGGCAAACACACCCCACATTCACATTCCCAAATGCCTCCTGCATGCAAGACCACAGGTGATGTCCACAGAGGCCAACAGTGCAAAAGCCTGACCATTACTCTATCCCTCCACAGTTTGATTTCAACAGACTTCATTTTCCACAGTAGTGACTGTAGGTGTCTTGTGAACTTCAAAGTACTGCGAAGGAAGCGCTCTTTTAAAGATAATTTGAGATTCTGTAAATGCACTACTTTTGTATCCATGTAAAATATAGTTGTATTGCTAAAAAGACAACAAAGGAGGTCTTTATACATCTGGAAGCATACATCTATAAACCCTATCTCCTTTCCATAGGTTTGTAATTATTGTTTATGCATTTGCTTTTCAATCAGCAGGGAGAAAGGAGATACAAACAAATATATACATGTGCCCACTTCATGAAGTTCCTTTTATCATTGTTCATTACCTTTTGTGTTTCTTGGATTCTTCATCTGACCTATGACCTTTCCAGGTTGCCAGCTTCTCCATGATGGATTGGATTAGATGAGGCAAGAAACTCACTGTCTTATCATCACCTCTCAGGGTCTAAGTTCCTTAGCTAGTTGTGCTTCTTCCCACTCTCTTATGATTTGTTTTTATATAAGGTTCAGGGTTTTAAGCTATACTTAAGAGGAAGCGAAGGAAAAAAGCCCACCCATTCCACCTTTCCAGAATTTGGAAGCATTGTGCTTTTTCCTTCTGTGAATAATGACAGCCTGGTTGCTAACCTTCTTTGTAGCAGCCCAATCAAGCCCAGTAGAATTGAGTTCTGGTTAGCCATCTGGATGGTTATCTCTCATTGGATAAATGTGGCCCTAGATGGTGAGAGTAACTACCACTTATTTGAATACTCACTTTTAGAAGTAGCCCAGGAGGGCCAAGCTAGTGAATATAATGGTATCTGTAAATGCTATAAAAACGTCCTGCTTCCTCTTTCTCTTTATTCTTTTATGCAAAAGCTTTGCATGAAGAAATGGCCAGGAAAAGAAAAAAGTTACAGCTACTAGAGTGGCCACACCAGTTCTGTGGCGGTGAGGAAGGAGCAAGACGCCTGTCCCTGGGAGGCAGGAAGGCTCCAGGGATTAATTCTCCATGTGATGCAAGAGCCGCAGTGCAGACCAGCAAAACAGCATCTGGCCTGCTGAGCCAAGCTACCACTGTCATCCTCGTCCACAGTGTATGAAAACAGACAAACTCATATGAATATGACTTATTTGTGAACTATTAACTATTCTGCTGTGCCTGATACCATTTGTGGAAGCTTCCCAACCTGGATTCCTATCCCCGTATTGGTACAAACCCATAAATCAACACACCTTGTTTCAATCTGCCTGCTACAAATAAATATGCTTCTGGTGTGTGAGTAGCCTTGATGCAGAATGACTAGCAAAGTTGTAAATATTCACTAACCCTGCTTGTAGCTTGCCCAAATGATGTGATGCTCATTTTAACAAGGTTTATAAGTTTCAAACTGGACTTAGCTTTACCCCTCGGGGTTGTACATTTATGTCTGTGGGGGGGGGGGCATAGATTGCATCTCTGTTGGGAACCATAGTTGCTTTTTGATTCCTTTGTGGCAACACACCAAAGATCCATGTGTCAATCTAAATTCCCTTCATCGATCATAATGAATATTACACTATATCTTAGCTGTCTCCTCCTGGGACTTATTCACAGTTGACTGAATATGGGATCCTAGGAGGCAAGACTGAGGTTAATGTTATATATTGTTTTCACCCTAGAGTTCTGCTGACAGTAGCTTTGATTAAATGTTGTTTGAGATGAATTAAATAGATTTAGTCTCAGCCTCAGCTTGTCAGATTAATCAAAATGATGGAATAGCCTACTCATGGAAAAAAATATTCTAGAAACAAAAGTATAATTTCTATAGAACACAGAGAATACAGGACATAGTGTGGATATTGTTGGAAATGAGCCTCTCATTCTCACGTGTGTCTTGCTGAATGTACCAATAATCACTCAACCTGAACCCTTTCTTGGGTTGGTGTCTGCAGCAGGTAACCTTGAGGGATAAGGAGATGTCTTCTCTGAGGGAAAGAGCATGCTTGCTTACTAGTTGCTAAAGAAAAAAGAAAAAAAAAAACAGCAAACCCTCCAAGTTGTGTTCCTCAGACATGATGCAGCCCCATTGAGGCCACCTGCACCCTTGATGTCATCCTGTGGGACTTCAAGGTGAGGGAAGCTCAAGCAAATGTGCCACCCTTCATGCTGCTTGCTGCCCCTTAAGTGATGGTCCTTTGTCCCTGACTGGGGTACCTGTGACTTTACTGATGGCATCAAGCACACAGCAAACTTATTAACATGCATCAAGGATGAAATTCAAGTCCTGACAAACTCCCCTTTGCCATCTTCACAGATACTATAATAAAGGCTTGGATTGCTTTTGAGAAAAATTAGTTTCCCCAAATTGGTTTAGAATAGACTCTTTTTGAAGGCTATAATGTGTAGTCCCATGTGGAACTTCA